TGGACTTCCCTGGGGAATTCTGGGAGTTGAAGTCCACCCATCTTAAAGTGGCCAGGGTTGAAAAACACTGGCTTAGATTGATGTAGGATTTAAACTGGGGTGGAGGGAAGGGAGGAGAAGAGTTAGCACATTACAACCACTAAATTGTTAAGGGACACGCAACCTTCCTCGCCCGCAGCCTGCATCAGCAAAACCAAGCCATCTCCGCCCGATCAGGCTAGCCGTTCCATGCATCGCCTGAAGGGAGCCGCAGCTCGCAAAAGCGTCTGCCTGGCCATACAATCCGTCAGTCAGAAAAGGTGCTCCCCGACTCTGACCGTTGGTCCTGGCCGGTGGGCCAAGTTTGGAGGCCAGGAATGCATCAGGTGTGATAAACTCCGCAGCTGAAAGAGAGTTAGCCGGACTGGTGGTGCAAAACAACCCAACTTTCTCCTGTGTACTGTCGAAGGCTTTCACGGCCGGCATATGATGGCTGGGGTGGGTCTTCCGGGCCGTGTGGCCGTCGGAAGACCCGCACCAGCCACCAGCTTTCTCCTCTTGCATTAAGGACCAAAAGCTGAGGTGGGGGGGTGGGATGGAGACGCCAGTGGGCTGCCCTCGGCATCGTACGCTGCTTTTTCAACTTTATCCTGACCAAGATTGGCCTTTGCAGCCCTCTGGGGCCTCGTTCCACCGCTTTCCACCCCAAGGAAGACAGCCGTGCGAAGCCGCTAGACCAGAAGAAACATCTGCAGTTTGCACGGTTCTGGATTCCAATGAGAGCTGGCAGGTCAAACCCACCCTGAACGAGGCTTTGCTCTATCCTTGCACTGCCACGTAGAGGCTGACCCGATTCTGCAGCCCAGATGCAGCAGCTTGGCCTTGGCAGGAAGAGGGAAATCGGCCGCCCTGGGTCCAACGCATCTTTTGCCCATCTGCGCTCGGCATGGAAAGATCCAGGCATTTCATCTTTCTCGACAGCCCCAGCGCTGACGTTCTCCTGCCCCTTTCCTCCCCCCTTTCTCCCGTTTTTGCTGAGCGAAGCGAACCTTTCATGCTTTTAAGAAACGAGCTTCGAGGCCACGATGTACTGCAAGAGGCTGGGTTGCTTTTGTGGCGAGGGACTAATGCAGTTCTTGTTCAGCGGCTGTGTCGGGAAATCATTGGGTATTTCCAGTTTGGTGAAAAAAGGCATACTGTATGTCCCTCCCTTAGTCAGGAGGGGTCTGGTAAGACCTTTTCCGACGCACCAATTTTATTCAAAGGCAGAAGCTTTCGTGAGCGTCTGCAGCTCACGAAAGCTTCTGCCTTTGAATAAAATTGGTGCGTCGGAAAAGGTGCTAACAGACTCCTGATTTTTTTGCTACCGTAGACTAACACTACCTCTCCTCCTACACCATACAACCATTGTCGAGGAGCTGAGAATGGCAGTCACACAACCCGTCCAGTTCACCAATGCCCATTTGTGTGTTGGTGCGTGTGAGTGCACGAGTGTGTGCCCCATGGGCTATCGTTTGTACAAAGGTCCTGCCTGTTCTGTCACGGTTGCAGTTCAGCTCCCCCTGAATCACCCCTTCCAAGTTTGCTCTCTTGTCCTCTGAACGATGTGCCATCACGCTTTGACAGATTTCTCTCTCTCTCTCTCTCTCTCTCTCACACACACACACACACACAGCCTTTGTTTGGACTCAGCCGATCCCCAAATCCAGAGTGACAGAATCATGTCGCTGAGTTTGAAATTGGCCACGTTCAGGGAGAAAAGCCCCAAGCCGGCACTTTGCTTCCGAAGGGACAGGCAAGGAAATCAGGACTCAGCAAGCAGTGCTAAGCCACCTCGCCCAGAACAGAGCTGTCAAGGAGAAGAGGGCTTCTGAGCATAGAAAAAGCACTTTTTTTTCTCCGTGCGAAGTGGCCACAGAGTTGGAGAGCCTGTGAAATGGGAGGGGGTATTTAGTAGGTCTCCTTTGTTTCTGGAAATTGCTATGGGGAATTGAAAGTTGGGAGGCCAGGCACAGAAGGAGAATTGGGGTTGGCTTAGGGGTTGGGGGGCCAGAATGCCTTGTGGGGCCGTGATCGAGGTCCCCTTTGGCAGAGCCAGCTAGAGCTAAGGGAATCTCACCCAGACAATTCAATTCCTACTGCATCAGAGCCAGATTTCTTTCCCCTCCCTGTCTTGACAGCCTCCTTCTCTTGCCCAGCCCCAAAGCCATTCAGCCAGAAGGCCCAGGGTTACTGCCCACAGCTGCCACCTTGGCGGAGAGGCCATAAAAGCATCCACTTTCCCCAGCTCCGGTGCCAAGGGGAGAAAATCTCTGCCTGTTGAATTCCATCCAGGTCCAGGAGACGGAGGGCTTGGTCTGCATGTGCTCTGGGTCCCCCCCCCCACTTTCCCAAGGAAGCCAAGGGTGACCTACTTGCCAGAAGCGTAGACTTCAGCCGTGTCAAAGAGGTTGACCCCGTTTTCGTAAGCGATCGTGAGCACGTTCTCGGCCATCTGCAAGCAGAAAGAGAAAGGGGCTTTTGGAAAAGGGGAAGGGGCTCTTTTAATCTGAGCGGCTTCACCTCCTCTCCCCGACTGTGCCCTCAGGAGAAGCTGCTCTTGCACAGAGATAGAAAAGTCTGCCACCAGCTGCTTAACGCTTTCCCTGTTCAGAAGCAGAAAAAAGAAGAGTTAGTAACCTTGATCTCTGTCTTGCCTTTCAGAGACAGCTGTTTTCTCAGCAGCATCTTTTTCTGCCAGCTCCAGTTGTGCTGGGTGGGGTGGGGGGTCTTTTAAACTTTCAGAATATGAGAGGAGGCTGAGGTCAGTCTAGTCCAGCGTTGTTCAAAGTTGGCCACTTTAAGACGTGTGGACTTCAACTCCCAGAAGTCCCCACGTCTTAAAGTGGCCAACTTTGAAAAACACTGATTTAGTCCAATGTTGTGTCCAGTTCTGGGCGCCACATTTTAGGAAGGATTCAGAGAAACTGGAAGAGATTCAGAGAAGGGCAGGAGAGGACCAAGTCCTCAGAAGACAGACTGAAGAAGCTGGATGTATGTAGTCTACAGAAGCTTTTCTTCTCCTCCTTTGCAGAGCACATCAAGGGTGGCATTTGCCAAATCAAGATTGTAAAATCCTGATTGTAAAAGTGCAACTAAAGGCGTAAAAGCGGAGCGTCCTCACTGTTGCAAGAGCCCAACAAGGTAGGCCAAACTAAGAAACCAGTGCCACATAGATCAGGACTACTTTTATTGTAATAGCTATAGTAGCAGAATCTTGCAAGGCTGAATGCACTTCCCCCTCCCTCCCTTTATCTCTGTCTGAACTAGGGGGGGGGCTTGTCAGAGATGTTTTCTCATGTAACTTCCTTGGCCTGGGCTCAAGCCCCTCTTATCGGACCATTGTCTTGGTGGCAGTTCTTCCTCCCCTCTTCAAGGCCATTCCCTTTTTCCTCTACAGTCATGCAATGGGCAAAGTTTGAGACTTACCTCGTCTGAGATCTGGGACCCAAACGTCACCCACGTACCTGCAAGAGAAGACAGGCTTTTGAGATGGGGCTCAGTCAGGCTGCACCCTCCTGCTCCCTGTCTAGGGATCTGCTAAGCTGCTCTTAAGACACCTAGAACCAAAAGTGATTATTTCCAAGCACGATTCCCCCATCTTAAACTTGCCAAGGCTGAGAAACACTGCCCCAGAGTCTCTCCAGCAGGATTTATTGAGAAGAAAGGGACAAGAATTCTAGAAAATGGACTTGTTCCTTTCTAAAACCGCTATATCTCCAGAGTACCCTGGGATGGAGACTTCTTGATTCTCTTTCTAACTGTCATCCTGTGAACTGGGGAACCAGCCAGTCTTTTCACTGATAATCGGGAAGCTTGCAGTCTTTAGCTGTTTACCTAATGGTCTCCGGAACCTCGATCAGTCCGGGAACAGACTCTTACACAGATCTGTGATGGGCTTGGAGGTTGGCTGGTGAAGGACGAAGCTCCAAGCATATCTAAAGAGGGTTTCCCAAAACTGAGAGAACCTCCCAGCCATCAGAAGTATTCTGCACCACTGAAGCCCAGCCCTTGTTTCTCGTCCTCTAGAACTCACCGAGGCCAAGGCAGGAGACTCGAAGGCCAGACTTCCCAAGGTTCCTGCAGTGGGAAGAAATGGGAAGGTGAAACAGGGGGCAGACTTTGAGCTAAGCTTCTGGCACCCGGGGAGGGGTCTGTAATGGTCGGTGGGAATGACCTTGGGAGACAGGGGAAGAGCCACAGCCAGGAGAAGGGTTGGAGAAGAGCCAGTGAGCCCACAGCAGGAATGGGGGTGTGGGAAATGTCTCAAATGAGACCTCCCTAGTTTCTTGGGCTGTAAAGGCAAGAGTGCGAGAGGTGTACTTTCAGACTCGCAAGATTGATGTCAACCTTGTGAGGTAGTCCAGACAGGAAGCACGACCAGATGGACTAATTCTACTTTAGGGCAAGGTTACCTTAGTAGGCTCTTGTAAGACTGAAAGAACCTCCCCCTTGCCTTCACACTCCAAGAAACTAGGGAGGGTCCCTTCTGAGGTGCTTCCCACACTCCCATTGCGTCTGAGGGCTCAGCCGCCTCTTATCTGACTGTTGCCTAGTCTGTGGCTCTTCCTCCTGTCTCCCAAGGTCATTCTCACCTACCCTTACAGGGTCTCTGTTCTCCTCCACAAGCTTTTTTCCACCAACACAACAATTGTGTTTCATGTCAGCTTTCTTTTAAGTAGAGTGTGCTGCCCTCCATACAGTATGCAATGTTGTTCTCTGCTGCCCAGCATGCTGGGAGATGTAGTCCAACATCTTTAGAGAGTGCACCTTGGAGAAGTCCAGTACAGACACACTCCGGGGGAACAGCTGCATCCTCATTCATTTGGTACTTTGTAGATGAGCGAGCCAGGAATTCATGGGCGCCCAGAACTTCTGAATTCGTCCTTGGACATTCTCCCCACGTTTCTGGCACACCCCAAAAGGACGTGGCTGCTCCTTTTGGGTCCTGTTCCTCCCTTGAGCTGTTTAATGCCCAGGGTGACTCTTACAGTTTTCTTGGGGAGCCACTATTCTGAGCAATAACAAAGATAAAAATAGATGCTGGTTTGCGCCTAGCACTTTAAAACGGAGTCACTCCTGCTTCTGAGGAGCTTCTAAATGCTGGGGAGGGGGCAGGCCATGAGCCACATTGATTTCATGCGGGGAGCTTTTTTCAATTCTGCCTTTTAGCGACATCCTGCTCAAATCCTTTATATTTCCTATTCGCCCTCTTAAAAGAAAAAACAATCATACACAGATAACTGCTGGAGATATAAATGTGGGCCATACGTCACAAATATTAAACCATGTTTTTTTCATTACATCTTTACAAGAAATGAGACGGGAGTCTGCAGTATATTCATCCCTGCATTTTTCAACATCCGTTAATATACATTTGCATTTTGCAAAATGCAAAACTCGCAGGACGCCATGGCTGCCTGGCTCCGTGACCTTCACCCGCCCCACTGCTGGACACGGGCCCTGACCCCCTGCACCGTCCTAAGCAGTTCCTCCTGCTGCCCCTGTTGAGAAAGTTTGTCATCGCCCGCTTTTCATCTGCTGCCTGGCCGAGTTCCCGGGGAAGCTGAGCCCAGGAGAGATGCAGAGCAGCAATTATGGTGGAACTGGTGAGGTGGTTTGGAGGCCGGCCAGCCCCGACAGCAATCCGATTCGGGGCCCCAAGGGAATTGGACCTCCAAGCTGGGCGGCCGGCCAGCCCGCCAGGCTGCCCCATCAGGCCTGATTCCCAGCGGGTCTCTGTTCCTCTGGCACCTGGCCTCCCTGGCGGCGCCCTCCCCCCCCCCCCCACTGCATACCAAGCCTTTTCTCCTCACCCCATCTGCACCTCTTGCAAACACACGCGCGCACACTCAGCAGAAAGGCAGGAGTTTTACACCATGCAGCCTTCCTTCTAATATTATTTGGGGCAGGCAGGTAACTGTGAAGGGAAACATTTCCACTGGGGCCTTAAACTGAGCAGAATGCAAATCTGGACACCTTCGCCCCCCCTCCTCTACCTCCAGCTGTGCCAATCTGTTCAGTTTCCAGCCAGGACATTGGAGAGCTGAAACCCAGCACATCTGGTTTTCACATCTGACCAGGTTGGAGAAGGTTGGTTTTACAACTGGCTCGTCACAGCTGTCAAAGTCACATCTCTTTAGGGAAATGGGCAGTTTTCCAGCACCTTTTTTTTTACAGGGGAACCCCAAAGTCTTGGATCATTTCCGCGCCCCCCCCCCCCCCCCCCCCCGCAGCAGCCCCATTTGTTCCCTCCTTTCCTGGAACAAGTCAATTAACTTTGAGGATCACAAAAAACCCTCTAACTTTAATTAAAATGCCACAAATGAAGCAGGGAGGTTAAAATGGTCTCGGGAACATAAGGATGGGAGAAAGTGGTGGGGGCTGCATTTTGGGGGGCTGCACAAGCCCTTCGGGGCTACTGGAAAATGTTTTCCCCTTCCCAAACCACCACACTGGCTCCCGCGGGATCTCCCAGCCTGGCTCCAGGACTCAACTGTGAGTCTGTTTCTTTCTGTTTTAGGGTTCCAGGAGCCCCCAGCCCCCTTTTCTACTGTAACTGCTCCCCAGCATTCTGGGAAGGAAGAACCCCAGAATCCTGGCCACCACCCCTATCAACCTCCCCCCCTTTTCAAGAAAATAAAGGGACCACTTTCACCTCCAGCACCCCCTCCCTTACGTGGGGGGTGTCCCCTTTCCCCCATCCTCTTTAAAGCCCCAGCCACGTCTCTCTCCAACCCCCTTGGACACCTGAGAAAGCGTCCCAGAAATCCGATAG